CCATATTCTGTGATGGAAGTACATTGTTTTATTTACCTTTACCATCAAGGAGCAAATGCTTATGTGTTTCAACTTTAGCAGGAATCTCAGCGCTATCTCCTGATCGTGTCTTAAATTCCTTAGCTGTCCCTCACTTCTAATCACTTTATTATTTGCCCAAGACATTTGTCTTAATTTTTAAGGGAAATAAAATTTAACATTGTTGTTGTTGTTATTAAGTGCCGTCGAGTTGGTTCCGACCCATAGCGACCCTGTACAGGGTTTCTGAGGGTGCAAATCTTTACAGGAGTAGAAAGCCTCATCTTTCTCCTGCGGAGCGGCTGGTAGTTTCGAACTGCTGACCTTAAGGTTTGCAGCCTGAGATTTCTGTAATGCAAATAACACAAAATTGTCTTCAAGATTGGCAGTGTTCAGAACCCTTAAATAATTTCAAGTGGATGGGCATCTGTTAATGTATGGATGTATAAGGCATGGTCTCTAGTTAAGATGTCATTCTTTATTTTTAGCTCAGAACCATACCAAACATTTTCACACACATTTGCATAATGTGGATTAGATTTCTAGTTGGTTTTTTTTTTTTTTTTTAATAAATGTGTATGAATTACACAAATATAAAAGTAAGTATGAAAAATAAGTCCCTATTTGGTGCAAACATTGAATCAATATTTTGTAGGTTCCTACCACCCACAGGCCAACAAGAAGTAATCTATTCCTGAAGTAGTGATCTACTCCTCAAACAATGGACCACAAATCTACTCTCATACACATAAAGCATCAATGAGTTGAATTTTACCTTGATACCAAATGGTTTCATCACTTGATTTTGTTTTGAAAGAAAATCTAAAACACAGGGTATATAGCTAATAATCACAAGAGTGTGCTACAAAAATAACAACACATGTTTAAATACTAGATATTTTATAGCTAGAGATTCAAATTAAAAAACATATAGTCAATATGAAGTGAACTTCTTTCAAATTTTCTTGCTTAAAAGATCTTAATTGAGTAAAACCCTTTTCGGGAAATCAAAATATTTTTTGTAAATTCTTCCTAGAGCATAGTTAATTTCTCTGTTTCGCAGACTATAGATGAGGGGGTTTATAAATGGTGGCAGCATGGTGTAGATCACAGCTATCAAAAGATTTTTAAGAGATGCTTTATTTGCAATAGGACCTAGGGCAGCAATTAATGCAGAAGTAACAAACAAAAAAAGAATAGCCAATTGTGGGGTACAAGTAGATAAAGCTTTGTTACGTGCTTCTGCAGAGTGCATCTGAAGCACACTTGAAAATATTTTAATATATGACATAAACATGAAGGTAAAACATACTAAGACAATGCCAGAACTTATAGCTAGGAGTATAGATTCACAAAACTGAACATCTGAAGATGATATCCTCAAAACTTGAGGTACATCACAGAAATATTGGTGGATCACATTGGACTTTGTGAAGGGAAGCCTGAACATGTTGACTGTATGGATGGCAGAATAGAGCAATCCACTGGCCCATGAGCCCCCTGCTGCCTGTGCACACACCTGTGGGGTGACAGTGAGTCCATAGTGCAAGGGATGACAGATGGCAATATAGCGGTCATAAGACATCACCACAAGAAGAGCAATTTCTGTAGGTGCAAAGAGAGTATACAGGAATATCTGAGCAGCACATTCTTTGAGTGAGATTGATTTTCTACCTGTCAAGGAATTCACAATTGATTTTGGAACAATAACTGAAATAGAGCAAAGATCTATGAAGGATAAATTGGCTATAAAGAAGTACATAGGAAAGTGAAGATTTGGGTCTGTCACAATGACTAAAATAGTCAGAAGATTTCCAGCCTGGGCTCCCAGATAAATCATTAAGAACAGCACACCTTGTAAGACTTGGAGTTCCCAGGAGCTTGAAATCTCCATGAGAAAGAATTCTGTGATGAGAGTGAGGTTATCCATGCTTGCTAGTATGATGCAATCTTCCTAGAGTCAAAGGACAAAGTGGAAAATTGAGAATAAAATAAAAATTCAGAAATGCATAATACCTACATATAAATTGTTGCCATATGATCTCTAACCAAGAGGTCAGAATAGATGAAGTCAATGTGTACGTATTTTTCTTTTAATTTCCCTCCAAATATACTGAGATATAACTTCCATCATGAAAATAATCTAAACCATGAATGCATTAAAAAGGAAATGAAGAACCAACAATGTTGAGATTGTTGTGTCAAATATATACTATCCTTATAAAATAACTTATTTATATCTATCTAGACCCCTTAATTCCTCATTTCCTTCATACAAAATGGTTGTCTCAAAATTCTCAATAAATAGAGGTATAATTACTGTAAGTTATAAATATTTGACACCTCAATTTAGCCTCTCCAAAACTATTACTGATTCTAATCATGTGCCGGGGAATTAGAATGGCATCAGAATTCCTCCTTCTGTAGATAAATACCCTGAGAAGGGTATCTATGAATAAGTTAATGAATGGATCTGAATTTCTCTTAATAACCATTTTAAACTTCATGGACTTTATAGACTATGGTTTACAACTCTTCATTTCAGTTAGTCTCTATTACACGTATATGGCCATTATCTTTCTCCCTTTGAAACACCATCTATAAAAGATTAGAGTGGACTCAGAATCTTATTTCTATAATTTTCCCATTGATAGCTTGCTCCCAGAGTTCCCTTATGACAAATTTATCCTACCTCCACATTTGTACATAATGCATAAGAACAACAAAAACAAAAAATCTTACCTTAAAATGTTTCTTCACAAGACAACTTTGCTTCAGTCACACATACATTCCAATATTTAATGAAAGGCTAGTTTTCTCTATTGATTCCACACTAATGTACTTCTGTAGCTTTAAGTGAACCCTTCCCATGAAATAATTACTAATAACTAATCTAACTTTAACTCATTCACTAGTGCATGTCTTGGAGATTTTAAATCATGAAATTTTAATCACATATTCATTTCTAAACTTAAATATTTGGGGCATTCTAATTCAATTGCTATTTAATTTTCACATTTGGACACCTGGTTTTGAGGATTTATAGATTTTAAAATGTTAAAATTAGCGTTTTTGAAATTCTATTTAAATATAATCAATTTGTTATAACAAAACACTTCATAATTTTGCTATTATATTACATGATTTATAACAAAAATAATAGCTTTTCTGCTTACACTGATTATATTTATATGCCATTTTAGTGCTTTTTATAAAATTGTGGTTTCCATTAAGTTCTTGACTCATACCAAGAGCTTAATATTTTCTAAATGTTAGAATAGAAACAGTCAACATATTTTTTTTAGCATAAATGTGACATATGGGTCAGACATAAGATGTATGTCAATATTCTTGACACATATCTTTTCTTATTCAGTGAA